GAACTAACCCAACAGAAAACACATCAGTGGCTGAGGAGCACCGGGTTGAAAGCTGAAACCGAAGGCCTAATTAGTGCAGCTCAGACCAAAGCCTCACAACCAGATCCTATTACTGGCACATAATCAAGGATGGAACTAACCCAACAGAAAACACATCAGTGGCTGAGGAGCACCGGGTTGAAAGCTGAAACCGAAGGCCTAATTAGTGCAGCCTCAGGACCAAAGCCTCACAACAAGATCCTATTACTGGCACATAATCAAGGATGGAACTAACCCAACAGAAAACACATCAGTGGCTGAGGAGCACCGGGTTGAAAGCTGAAACCGAAGGCCTAATTAGTGCAGCTCAGGACCAAAGCCTCACAACCAGATCCTATTACTGGCACATAATCAAGGATGGAACTAACCCAACAGAAAACACATCAGTGGCTGAGGAGCACCGGGTTGAAAGCTGAAACCGAAGGCCTAAAAGACCAAAGTACCAAGCCTCACAACCAGATCCTAATAACCAAGGATGGAAAAACACATCAGTGGCTGAGGAGCACCGGGTTGGCCGACCAAAGCCTCACAACAGGTTTGAAAGCTGAATCCGAAATTTAGTGCAGCTCAGGACCAAAGCCTCACAACCAGATCCTGTAACTGGCCACATAATCAAGGATGGAACTAACCCAACAGAAAAACACATCAGTGGCTGAGGAGCACCGGGTTGAAAGCTGAAACTGAAGGCCTAATTAGTGCAGCTCAGGACCAAAGCCTCACAACCAGATCCTATTACTGGCACATAATCAGGATGGAACTAACCCAACAGAAAACACATCAGTGGCTGAGGAGCACCGGGTTGAAAGCTGAAACCGAAGGCCTAATTAGTGCAGCTCAGGACCAAAGCCTCACAACCAGATCCTATTACTGGCACATAATCAAGGATGGAACTAACCCAACAGAAAACACATCAGTGGCTGAGGAGCACCGGGTTGAAAGCTGAAACCGAAGGCCTAATTAGTGCAGCTCAGGACCAAAGCCTCACAACCAGATCCTGTAACTGCCACATAATCAAGGATGGAACTAACCCAACAGAAAACACATCAGTGGCTGAGGAGCACCGGGTTGAAAGCTGAAACCGAAGGCCTACTTAGTGCAGCTGGACCAAAGCCTCACAACCAGATCCTATAACTGCCACATAATCAAGGATGGAACTAACCCAACAGAAAAACACATCAGTGGCTGAGGAGCACCAGGGTTGAAAGGATGAAACCGAAGGCTTAATTGCTGTGCAGCTCAGGACCAAAGCCTCACAACAAGATCCTATTACTGGCACATAATCAAGGATGGAACTAACCCAACAGAAAACACATCAGTGGCTGAGGAGCACCGGGTTGAAAGCTGAAACCGAAGGCCCAATTAGTGCAGCTCAGGACCAAAGCCTCACAACAAGATCCTATTACTGGCACATAATCAAGGATGGAACTAACCCAACAGAAAAACACATCAGTGGCTGAGGAGCACCGGGTTGAAAGCTGAAACCGAAGGCCCAATTAGTGCAGCTCAGACCAAAGCCTCACAACCAGATCCTATTACTGGCACATAATCAAGGATGGAACTCACCCAACAGAAAACACATCAGTGGCTGAGGAGCACCGGGTTGAAAGCTGAAACCGAAGGCCTAATTAGTGCAGCTCAGGACCAAAGCCTCACAACAAGATCCTATTACTGGCACATAATCAAGGATGGAACTAACCCAACAGAAAAACACATCAGTGGCTGAGGAGCACCGGGTTGAAAGCTGAAACCGAAGGCCTAATTAGTGCAGCTCAGGACCAAAGCCTCACAACAAGATCCTATTACTGGCACATAATCAAGGATGGAACTAACCCAACAGAAAACACATCAGTGGCTGAGGAGCACCGGGTTGAAAGCTGAAACCGAAGGCCTAATTAGTGCAGCTCAGGACCAAAGCCTCACAACAAGATCCTATTACTGGCACATAATCAAGGATGGAACTCACCCAACAGAAAAACACATCAGTGGCTGAGGAGCACCGGGTTGAAAGCTGAAACCGAAGGCCTAATTAGTGCAGCTCAGGACCAAAAGCCCTCACAACCAGATCCTATTACTGGCACATAATCAGGATGGAACTCACCCAACAGAAAACACATCAGTGGCTGAGGAGCACCGGTTTGAAAGCTGAAACCGAAGGCCTAATTAGTGCAGCTCAGGACCAAAGCCTCACAACAAGATCCTATTACTGGCACATAATCAGGATGGAACTAACCCAACAGAAAACACATCAGTGGCTGAGGAGCACCGGGTTGAAAGCTGAAACGAAGGCCTAATTAGTGCAGCTCAGGACCAAAGCCTCACAACCAGATCCTATTACTGGCACATAATCAAGGATGGAACTAACCCAACAGAAAACACATCAGTGGCTGAGGAGCACCGGGTTGAAAGATGAAACCGAAGGCCTAATTAGTGCAGCTCATGACCGAAGCCTCTCAACCAGATCCTGTAACTGTCACATAATCAAGGATGGAACTAACCCAACAGAAAATACATCAGTGGCTGAGGAGCACCGGGTTGAAAGCTGAAACCGAAGGCCTAATTAGTGCAGCTCAGGACCAAAGCCTCACAACCAGATCCTGTAACTGTCACATAATCAAGGATGGAATTAACCCGAAATGCAGGATATGCGGAAAATATAATGAAACTGTCGATCATATTATCTCAGGCTGTCCGGAGCTAACAAAGAAAGAATATACCCACAGACATAACAATGTAGCGACATATGTGCACTGGAAGATATGCAAGAAGCACGAAATTGAAACCACTGAGAGATGCTATGAGCACCAACCAGACACAATCACTCAAAATGACGATGTAACTATCCTCTGCGACATGTCAATTCAAGCTGTTAGGGAAATAAAAGCCAACAGACCCGATATTATCATAAAAGACAAGAAATTGAGGAAATGTATGCTTATTGACATAGCAGTACCATCTGAGAGAAACACTTCCATATAAATTATTGATAAACTGTCCAAATAAAAGGACCTGGATATCGAGATTAACAGGATGTAGGGAATGAAGACTGAGACTGTGGCAATAGTAATCGAAGCTCTGTGCCCCGTGAGAAATGGAATGGAAAATTTTAATCACAGTGTCCCACGTAACATCAACATACAAGTTGCCCAGAAGATCACCCTACTAGGAACATTCCATATACTAAGAAACGTGCTAACAATTAAATGACAATTCTCCTATAGGACCCGAGGACCATAGTTTGGAGCCGGTTCTACAGGAATAATAGAGTAGTCAAGGTTAGACAGTTTTTCTACACGACAGAAATCTTACTGTTATTCGCAATCAAATCTGAACAGGTAACGGGAAATCCTCGGTCTGTCCATGCTGTGAATGTAACGTTGAACAGAAATTTAGTACCTAGCTTACTGAGTCAGTCTGCCAGTAGACTTCGTGCTATCTAATTGTGATCAGTTATTTGTAACGCGAGGTTTCCTAACATTGTATTGCAACGGCTCTGCGATCTTTACGATGGCTGACAAATTAGGGTTATAGGCGCACAATCTGTCTGCAGCCATAACAGCAGTGAAGTGTCTAGGGTAAAGACAGCTTTATGGAACCCATCCTTTTTTTTTGAATTCCTTTTCCTTAACTGGTTGCCACCTCAAGGCATGAGAACCCAGTCGGTCCTGCTATATTACCCCTAGCTGGAGGAAGATGGATGAGCGGTGACAGAATAGAACAAAATTTGAACTCAGCTCGCCGACTTAACTTTCCGACGTTTCAAGGCCAGTCCACGATGACCGTTCAGGGCGGCCAGTCAGTAGCAGAACACGGAAATCTAGGAAAAGCTCGTTCTGGCATCTCGACTTCAGTCACTTTCCCACCACCGGGATGTCGCCTCTCTCTGTCTTTTCTATGAATATTTTTATGGCCATTGCTCTAATGAGTTCTCCTTCTTGGTTTTCGTATTTGGTTTTTGTCTAAATGAGAGTCTTTGAGTGACTGGTTAGTTGAATGATTGTTTAAATTATTTAAGTCTTGCATCAATTTCGCCCAATTTCTGCCACTTTTAAGGCTTGTGGGGGATTATTATTACTAATTCTATTTTGTTTAGTTTATTGTATACAGAAGTAAATATTCATTGAGGTTATTTTAAAATCTGTTATTTTATTCCCCACTGCCATAATCAAAATTGGGGATTAGTTAGGAGTTCATAGAGACTCTGAGGTATTATGGTGACTGTAGTAAGAATGGTAAGTACGAATGTGTTGTTTTGCTGTAAGGCATTGTTATTTTATTCCCCACTGCCACAATCAAAATTGGGGATTAGTCAGGACTTCATAGAGACTCCGAGGTATTATGGTGACGGTAGAAAGAATGGTAAGTAAGAATGTGTTGTTTTGTTGTAAGGAATATTGTAGTTTGTTTCGGTCTGTGTTTGTGGCTAGCTAAGTTTAAAGATAAGACAGTTTTAATATCAACCTTTCCCCATAGCTTTTGACCGTGTGCCCTATTTCTTGTAAAACTACAAGAATAAATATCGCCCTCCTTACTGGTACCTCACCGCATGAATTTGACCGTACTACTAGATTGGCAATTAGGTCTCACCATAAGGTTCCAAAAGGTTCTGTTCTCGCATTTCTCACCTGTGAGGCTCTCTTTTCGGTTTCCAGGTAACTATTTTATCTTTCATGCAAATTGCTGACCTTTTTAGTCGACTGTTGAACCGTTTGAGAATATAGGTAATTTTTTAGGTTTTATATTTCATTCTTTCTCCTCACTAATATCTTCACAATCTGTTTCACTCCCAATAACCCCCACTTGTGTCTTAGTGACTGTATCGCCTTGCTTAGGGCGAAATAATTAAAAAATAAATCCAAGAATATCCTTATATCATCTTGTTAGTTTCCTTTCGAATTTTAGCTGCCTGTTGACGTTAGATTATTGACTCCTATAATAAAATTGCCGTTTTCATTATGATCCAGGAAAGCATAGTGGAAAGTCTCGCTCCCATGGTGGTCACCATGTTCTTCAACAGATTAATGCGACTCAGCAGATGTCAAAGGTCACATTTATGCAAAAAGATGGTCCTTGTCATCTTTATATTAATCCCTTTGTACCTCATAATAGGTAAGTTTGCATTTTCCATCTTATTTATTTATTATTATATTAAATAATTGGACACGCGTATTTTGCATTTCGTTTTACGGCATATCAGCACCTCAATGGGTTATTTAATACCAACAACATTTTTAGGATAGATTTGTATGAATACAATGTGTATTCTTTGGTTTAGATTGGTTTGGCTTATTTTGTTTTACGGCATATCAACCTCAATGGGTTATTTAATGCTGACAATTTTTTTTATTGCTGGTAATATTTTGTTTTGTCAAAAATCTGTTTCTGGTAATACTTTTCCTTCAAAATTGTATTGCTGGTAATAGTTAACTATTTGCCCATATCTGGGACCCTACCATGTGCTACCACCCTGGGGCAGGGTGGAGCTTAGAACACCAGCAATTAAGAGGTTGGACACACGTATTAGAATTTTATTAAACGATTGGACACGCATATCAGAATTTTATTAAATGATTGGATACGCGTGTCAGAATTTTATTAAATAATTGGATACACGTTTTAGTATTTTATTAAATGATTGGACACGCGTATCAGAATTTTATTAAATAATTGGACACACTTATTAGAATTTTATTAAATAATTCGACACGATTATCAGAATTTTATTAAATGATTGGACACGCGTATTAGAATTTTATTAAATGATTGGACACACGTATTAGAATTTTATTAAATAATTGGACACGATTATCAGAATTTTATTAAATGATTGGACACACGAATCAGATTTTTATAGAAAATGGAATCTTTTAAAGTTTTCGAAATATTGTTCATGAATCTATCAGCTACTGCCAAACTGGTTTGTGTTCTCATCATATTTGACAGACGATGAATCACAAATATAGTGATTTTTCAAGCGTAGCTTAGATGTGGCACAAGGCCGAAAGTATGGGGCGCCCAGTGAGGATCGAACTCACTACTCAGTCGTAATTGTTCTAGCGAGACAAGCTTGCTAACCATTACACCGCCGTGGGGTGTCCATGAATCACAAATATATGTGACAGAAGAATCACCGGTTGAATTTTCGATTTGCTCCAATCTTTGTTAACAAATCGTGTAATGAATGACATCTTGAACCGCCATTTTTCTCGACCCTTTTATATTAATGCTGACGTTCTTCAGGGTTATATCATCGGGCCTACTTTCTTTTTTATCATTATCAACGACATTCCAAATGCGAGCAGTTTCCAATTTGTTATCTACGCTGGTGGCACAATTATCTACTCCTGTCTTAATATTAATTCTAATAGGTTCGATAAATTAAATCTGGTATCTGACCTAAAAATGTCATCTTCATGTTGTTAACTGTGGTAAGAAATGGCTTGTTAAATAATTGGATACGCGTATCAGAATTTTATTAAATGATTGGACACGTGTATTAGAATTCGTGGCATGCTATAGACTAAATTCTTTAGTAAGTCAACGTCCTTCTCCAGATTTTTCTAGCATTCTGTTAATTCGCGTAAAAGCTCATAAAGACACGATAACGATCCTAAACATATTGCCTTAAAGAATAAACTTTATCTAGAGAGGAAGAGCGACGAGGGTAAATTTCAACTATTTTAGTCGCCTAGTCAGAGTCCTGACCTGAAAGCACTTGAAAACCTTTGAGTGATAATGGACAAGCGTACCCATAATAGGAAAGTTTACACAGAAGATGACCTTTTTCGCGAATGAAAGGAATGCTGCAAAAATCTGGTGAAGGATGTTAACTTATTTTATGGTGTCAACAAACACCAGTTGCCACTTTTGTGATGTCAACGAATACTCGTAGTCACTTTCGTAATGCTTGTTGTAGTAGAGACCTTGTAATCGCAGATACAAATATAGCACGCCGTTGAAGAATAATGGTGTGAGACGCTTTCAAATAATCTCGCATTAATAGTACTTGCTCGATAATACTCGCTCGAATAGTAGTGATCCGAATAGAGGAATAGTATAGTGAATAGAGTAGAGAATAGGGGATCTGTATAGTAATAGAGGATAGACTAGAAATAACGATCGTTAGTCGTCAGATACTTTATACATATGTGTGTTTCATGTGATCTTTTAATTCACTAATGGGATCGCCTGTGTCTGCTCACTGGCGATCTATGTTCAAACTCAAGTGTCGGCAGCGACACTTTATTTCTATATAACAACTTTCTTTTTTTTACTTGTATAATATACATATGTACACCTCTAATAATACCCTGTATTAATAAACGATTCTATTAATCACTTTGCCACGTACTGAATGTGCTTTTTTTAAGCGTTTCACCCCAAGCAAGGCAGGAAGCAAAGGGTTACAGTGAGTTGGAGCGAGACTAAAGAGGAGTGATAGAGGAAAGGATGAAGAGAAGGAGAGTGGATAGATCAGGGCATCTGGAGACGTCGATTGACATTACATTTGAATAGTTGGAGATTGTAGCTATCAGGAAAACAAGAAATGGGGAGGGAGTTCCACAGGCGAGAAGTGCGAGCCATAAAGCTATTGGAGTAGAAGAGACGGCTACATTTAACAGTTTCGACAGTGAAAGGGTGAGAGCAAGATGCCAGCCTAGTTGAACATTTAAATTCATGAAATCTGGGAACCAGCGAAAGCAGCTCATCAGAGCAGTTATCGTGAAAGTATTTGTAAAAAAGACAGAGGGAGGCAACGTCACGTCTGTAAGAGAGCGACTGCAAACGAGAAGCCAGATCAGGGCCAATTACATTGCATATCCGTCTTTGGATTTTATCAAGGACCTTGAGACAAACAAAAGGGGCCCCAGACCATATATGGCAGCAATACTCCATGCAAGGGCGTATGCTTGATTTGTAGATTTGTAGCCAACTTTCCTTGCGGTGGACGAAGCTATTGACTCAATGTATTCGTTCCATCTCAGGTCAGCGCACAATGTGAGACCGAGCAGTCGCAAAGAGGTGTTCTCGTGGAGTTGAGCGTCAGACATTATAATGGGAGGCAGGGATGGTTCTCTCTGCTGAGTAATAGAGACTCAGTTTTGTTTTTGTGGCATTAAAGTTAACCAGCAAATTCCTCCCCCAGTTCCCGCTTCTATTCAAAAATATGTTAAATCTAAAGAAAAATAGGCATTATTTCTTGGCTGACGCTCCTGTCACAATTGAGAAGGAAGGTGGCCATGCTGTGAATTAAATTAAGGATCCTGGGTCTCTTTGTAAATTTTGGCTTGCTTTCTTTGCTTCTATTATTAAATTTGTTGTAGAGTCTCGATGGAGTTCAAATGAATCTCCGAGTCTTTGTTGATATCAAATTATTTCCAACCCTACAACCTCTTTCCCCGCAGACGAAACGTCGCAAGCTTCTTACTGCCCTGTCGTTATTTCCGCGGAAAGTGCTCAGACGAACTACATCCCTTAGTTTCACCATTTCTAACCTCCACGGCTAAGACTCTCCATGCTACACACATTGTAGCGAACTAGCCTCATTCCCATCGTATTATATTGGTGAGAAGTTCCACTCGAGTAGCTACTTCCAGCGAACCGCTGCTAGGTGGAACCGACTCCCAAGAGGATGCTTCCCCGATCCCTGCAATTATTAACTACAATCCATAATTTGGGCTACTTAGCACTTTTCGCGGCTGCATTGTTGCCTGGCTGTGTTGGCCCCTTTTGTGAAAAATAGAAAATGGCTATTTACTGAAAAGAAATTACTATAAAGATACTGACGCTGACTTCTCGATGCCGACATTTTTTTTTCGATCGGACACTCTACAATATCTTCATGTTGTTGTTTTTTAAGCATTTCACCCCAAGCAAGGCAGGATGCCACTTGTACGCAAGGGGTTACAGAGTGGGAGCGAGACTAAAGAGGTGTGATGGAGAAAAGGATGAAGAGAAGGAAAGGGAATAGGTCAGGGCATCTGGAGATGTCGATTGACATTACATTTGAATAGTTGGAGATTATAGCTATCAGGGAAACAAGTAATAGGAATGGGATTCCACAGACGGGAGGTGTGAGACATGAAGCTATTGGAGTAGAAGAGACGGCCACATGTAACCGTTTCGACAGTGAAAGGGTGGGACCGTGACGCCAGCCTAAGTAGCACGTTTAAATTCATGCAGTCTGGGAACTAGCGAAAGTATCTCGTCGGTACAGTTACCCTGAAAGTAGAAAAGACAAAGGGAGGCGACGGCACGTCTGTGAGAGAGCGACTGAAGACGAGATGCTAGATCAGGACCAACCACATTGCATATCCATCTCTGGATCTTGTCGAGGACCTTAAGGTTGTATTCGTAAAGTGTGTCCGCGTCCTCGTGGCAACAAATTATTATTCACCTTAAAACCACTTTGCCACAGACGAAACGTTGCAAGCCTCACGCTGCTCCATCGCTATTTTCATGGAGAGTCTTCAGACGAACTACGTCCCTAAGTTTCACCATTTCTAATCTTCACGGCTAGGACCCGCCATGCCATGGACATTGTTGTGAACCACACTCATTCCTTTTCGTATTCCACTGTTGAGAGGTAAATTCAACTCGAGCAGGTTTCTTTTCCAGAAACCATTGCTTTGTGGAAACGACTCCCAAGAGGATGCTTCCCCGATCCCTGCAATTATTAACTACAATGCATAATTTTGGCTACTTAGTACTTTTCACGGCAGAATTGTTGCCTGGCTGTGTTGGCCCATTTTGTGAAAAATAGAAAATAGTTATTTACTGAAAGGAAATGATTATACATCTTAACCTGTTCAAGTCTATGCTTCTACATATCCGCATAAACTGTGTCTCTTACTCTGTAAACCACTACTTCGAGTGGCTCTCAGTCCTTGTACAGGCTAAACAACACTGCAAAAAAAAAGGGGGGAAGAAAGAAGAACAGGCATTACCTTTTGACCGACATTCGTATCTATCTATGTGGAAGAAATTCACTTATCTTTAAGCAGGCTGACGTCGTGTGGCTGCTGATAACATTGGCTCCATAATACAAAGAAAAGACGGGGTAGACGCATTCGCTGATTATAAAACAGCAAGCAGTTGTTAGAATGACCCGGATGTGCTGTCTAATGATTAGCATACTTGTCTTTGAAGGCATAAAGTCAGTGGCAGTGAAGAAAAGGAAAGTAAGAGATCCGCCTGTTGGGAGAATGAATTTGTGGCTCTGTGAATTTGTAACCGTTTGATTTATTTTTCGCTACAATATGTCATTCAAAAGTGAAATACCACAAGTCTTTTTGTGTTCATTTTAGAATGCTCTGTGACTTTCTACTATTAAATCTGTTGTAATTACAGAAAGACAGGAATTACTTTTTGACCGATATTTGTATGTATGTATGTATGTATGAATCTATCTATCTATCTATCTATCTATCTAGCTAGCTAGCTAGCTAGCTAGCTATCAGAAAAAGCTAGCTATCTAGCTAGCTTATTCTGTTCATTATCTATCTATCTATCTATCTATCTATCTATCTATCTATCTATCTATCTTATCCTCATTCAAAAGTGAAATATCCCAAGTGACAAGGAAGGATACTATGTTAAGAAGTAGATCTGGAATTCTGAGTTTCTGTGTTCATTTTAGGATCTGTGACTTTCTACTATTAAATCTGTTGTAATTAATGAAAGACAGGAATTATTTTTTTGACCGATACTTCTATCTATCTATCTATCTATCTATCTATCTATCTATCTATCTATCTCCGTTTGTCCCCTATCTATCTATCTATCTATCTATCTATCTATCTATCTATCTATCTATCTATCTCCGTCTCATTTTACGGTAACGGGTGTAACAGCAAAATTGTCCAAATCGTGTAACAGCAAAATTGTTCAATTGTTAGGATTAAGCTCTGAACAGTTGTATCTCAGAAATGATTAAAGATATCATACTGGAATTCTTCGGGGGTTTTTCTAACACAACTAACTCTACTTTGAGCAATAAGAATGTATAATTTCTCTTTAAGCTTAACAGAAGTATCGTGATGAAATCAAATATAAGCGAAAATGACGTTCGTCATTCATTAATCATAGCTAAGGATCGGAGGCTCATGAAGAATTGAAATAAATTCCATATATATATATATATATATATATATATATATATATATATATATATATATATAGGATCCTTTTTCCCAACTTATTCAAGATGACATTCGCCCTCTCTAACCTTCTAACTTTCTGTCCTAGAGTAACACGGCGCCTCACGTGTATCACGTACGATTTAATCTCCAAGTCTTTTTTCACGGCACTTTGAACTGTCATAGCTGAAACTCCTCTCTCACGTGCCAAACGTCTTATAGATTGAGTTGGATCTTTTCTAAGTGATGTCTTTAACTCTAATTTGAAATAATGATCCTTCTTTCTCTTGTAACCTCCTGATCCAGTTTTCTTTTCTACTGTTTCCTCTTTTTAAAACTTACTCCCCGTTCTCTTGGTGGTTCTTGAATGGATTTTGAAGATGGAAGCCAGAATATGAATTACTGGTACCATTACTGAAGGCCTGAATGATCCTTTTTCTCTCACCATTGCTCAGTTGAGAAGACAGTGGGGCTGACACAAAACGATTTTCACCTGTTCTCTCTCTAGCTGAATAACTCAAAGAGGTTTTCAGTGATTCTTACGACAAATGGTGTTAAGATGGCTAAATGACTTATCTGAAAAACTGGAAAAAAGAAACAATTTGTTTAGTGGGCTTTTAGATATTAAACATTTTGTGTGATGGCTAATTATGCTGTTACATGATTTGTACAATTTTGCTGTTACATCCAATATATATATATATATATATATATATATATATATATATATATATATATCCGATGCGATGAGAACGAAAGTAATATATAAATTCCAACGTTCACAACATTAATCCAAAAGAGGGCTCGACACCGATAGTAGAGCGATAATTAACCATTTTCGATTCTCACCCGTCGATGTGCAGTTGAAATGCACTGAAACCAAGTTGCATCTTTGTAGTGAGTAAAATGGTTTTGTCTCTATGATAAATTATAACAAAGGAATATATATATATATATATATATATATATATATATATATATATATAGATAGATAGATAGATCCATCTCTTCAATATCTATCTATCTATCTATCTATCTATCTATCTATCTATATATGTCCTCATTCAAAAGTGGAATCTCGAGTTTTTGTGTTCAATTTAGAATGTTCTTTGCTTTTCTACTATTAAATCTGTTGTAATTAAATAAAGCCAGGCAATACTTTTTGACTGATTGTTGTACTTAAACATAAACTGATTAATCTTTAATTTTTTCATAGACAGCCAGAAACTGAAAAATCTTGCCAAGCTTTCGAATGTCCAGCAAGTAAGTAGATAACATTTTTCTTAAACCTGATTAAATATTTTATGCGCTTAATCTCAAGACTGTGGGATACTCGATAGCATTTCGGAGAGCATAGTCAATGCTCTCTCCCTCCACTCGTTTGCTCACATATTTGTGTTTGGCGACTTTAACGCCCATCATACCAAGTGGCTTAAGGATGATACTACTGATCACGCAGGCAATTAAACACTTAATTTTTCAATTTCTTAATCCCTCAAGCAGATAGTTAACTTTCCCACTCGTTTTGCCTTCAACCGGGATGGTAAGGCCTCTCTTCTCGATCTATGTTTTACCTCCATTCCCGAGTCTTGTAGCGCCACGCAACTCTGCTCACTTGTTAACTCAGATCACGCTATAATATCTGTTAACTTCTCCTTCAACTCCACCCCATACAAAGAGCCTCCTACCACTAGAACTTCGTTCTACTATCAACGAGCTGACTGGGACTCGTTCAGTGATTTCCTCCGCAATGTCCCCTGTGATGTTGTCTTTACGCTCCCCGTCCAAGAATGTGCTTCTGAGGTCTCATCCTGGGTTAAAGCTGGAATCGACGCTTTCATCCCCTCAAGGAAATTTAAGGTCAAGTCGCACTCCTCCCCTTGGTTCTCCGCTGCTTGCTCAGCTGCCATTGCCCATAGGAACCACTTCTTTTACCTATTTCGTAGCGACATGTCGGACTGCAATAGACGTCTCTTTGCCTCCGCCTGTAACGAGTGTAAGCGTGTCCTCAACAATGCTAAGTCACTATTTGCTGCTCGGATGAAGGAGCGTATTGCATCTCGCAAATTTGGCTCCAAAGATTATTGGCGTCTCTGCAAGATTGTATTGAACAATTGCAAGCCCTCTATACCTCCTTTGTTCAACCAGTTCGAAGTCCTGACCTCTGCCGACAAGGCTGAATGCTTTGCTCGGAAATTTTCATTCAACTCAACTCTCGACTCTTCCGGTGTACCCATAACCGACTTCCCTCTTAGAACTGAGGCCCTATTGAGTGGGTTACACATAACCCCGTCTTTGGTATTATGTATTATCTCCAATTTAGACCCCAACAAGCCTAGTGGTGGAGATGGGATACCAGCCATTGTCTTGAAGAAATGCGCGCCTGAACTGGCGCCCGCCCTCTCTAAACTATATAACTACTTCCTCAAGGAATCTTGTTTTCCTGACTGCTGGAAGTCCTCTTCGATTGTTCCTATCTTCAAGAACTCTGGCGACCCCTCTGACCCTTCTAACTACCGTCCTATCAGTCTCCTACCCCTCTTCGGCAAAGTCTTCGAAGCCCTAATCAATACCGAAGTGGTTAACCAGCTCACATCCCATGATCTGCTCTCAGACAAGCAATATGGCATCCGCTTTGCCCGATCTACAACTGATGTGCATACTGCCATCACTGAAACTGTCTACCAAGCTCTTCAAAATAACAGGGAAGCTCGTGCCGTGGCCCTAGACATCTCCAAAGCGTTTGATAAGGTTTGGTATGCTGGCCTTCTTCGCAAGCTCCAGGGTTATGGCATTACGGGTCGATTGTTTGACCTAATACAATCATTCCTGTCAAACCGTGAATTGAAGGTCGTTCTCAACGGATTCTCCTCCAGTTCCTATCTCACGAACGCAGGTGTTCCTCAAGGCTCCATCCGAGGCCCCACTCTATTCCTTATCTTTCATAAATGACCTTCCTGACACCATAAATTCCCAAGTTGGCATCTACGCGGATGACACAACAATTTACTCCGGCCTCAAAAACAAATCTAGTGTTTCTGACACAACTAACCTGGCCGTGCGTCTCGAAAAGGACCTCCAATCGATTGTGAACTGGGGCAGGAATTGGCTGGTCAACTTTAATGCCTCAAAAACAAAACTGCTCTCTATTAATCACCACAGAGATCCTTCCCTGACCTTCATTAGAATGTCTGACGCTCAACTTCTCGACAGCATCTCTCTGCGGCTGCTCGGTCTCACGTTGACTGCTGAGCTCCAGAGGCGGATATGCAATATAATTGGCCTTGTTCTGGCATCTCGTCTACAGCCGCTCTCTCACAGACGCGCCGTCACCTCTCTCTGTCTGTTTTACAAATACTTTCATGGTAATTGCTCCGAGGAGCTGCATTCGCCCTACGAGACTGGCATCCCGCTCCCACCCTTTCACCGTCGAAACTACTAAATGTAGCTACCTCTTCTACTCCAATAGCTTCACGTCTCGCTTTCTCGCCTGTGGAACTCCTTTCGCTATTCCAGTTTCCCTGAGAGCTATAATCTCCAACTATTCAAATGTAATGTCAATCGATATCTCCAGTTGTCTTGATCTATCCACTATCCTTCTCCTCATCCTTTCCTCTATCACTCCTATCTGATCTAGCTCCAAATCTTCTGTAACCCAATGCGTCCTATCGGCTTCCCGCCTTACTTGGGATGAAATGCTTGAAAAAAAAATAAAAAATAAAAAATGAAATAGGAATATCTCTAGTAAGAAAAAGATGTGCAACAGAACGACAAAGACGTCGATGACAAAGCCAATTTTAAGATTAAGTAGAGTCAAGACGATCACTTAATTGACAAAGGTAACTGAGTGTCTCACATGAATATAACGATCTATGAGTTAAAGATGAAATGCAGATAAAATATTGACCGAAATCCGACAGGCTGATAAGATATAAATCAAATAGGAAACGTTTATCAATCTAATATGTTTCTTCAGATCTATCTATCTATCTATCTATCTATCTATCTATCTATTTATCTTATTCTGTCTCTTATCTATCTATCTATCTATTTATCTTATTCTGTCTCTTATCTATCTATCTATCTATCTATCTATCTATCTATCTATCTTATTCTGTCTCTTATCTATCTATTTATCTTATTCTGTCACTTATCTATCTATCTATCTATCTAGCTATCTATCTTATTCTGTCACTTATCTATCTATTTATCTTTGTCTGTCTCTTATCTATCTATCTATCTATTTATCTTATTCTGTCTCTTATCTATCTTATTCTGTCTCTTATCTATCTATTTATCTTTGTCTGTCTCTTATCTATCTATCTATCTATTTATCTTATTCTGTCACTTATCTATCTATTTATCTTTGTCTGTCTCTTATCTATCTATCTATCTATTTATCTTATTCTGTCTCTTATCTATCTATCTATCTATCTATCTATCTTATTCTGTCTCTTATCTATCTATCTATCTATCTATCTATCTTATTCTGTCTCTTATCTATCTATCTATCTATCTATTTATCTTTGTCTGTCTCTTATCTATCTATCTATCTATCTATCTATCTATCTATCTATCTATCTATCTTATTCTGTCTCTTATCTATCTTATTCTGTCACTTATCTATCTATCTATCTATCTATCTATCTTATTCTGTCTCTTATCTATCTATCTATCTATCTATTTATCTTATTCTGTCTCTTATCTATCTATCTATCTATCTATCTATCTATCTATCTATCTATCTATCTATCTTATTCTGTCTCTTATCTATCTATTATTCTGTCTGTCTTCATCCATCTATCTATCTATCTATCTATCTTATTCTGTCTCTTATCTATCTATATCTATCTATCTATCTATTTATCTTGTCTGTCTCTTATCTATCTATCTATCTATCTATCTATCCATTATCTATCTATCTATCTATCTATCTATCTTTGTCTGTCTCTTATCTATCTATCTATCTATCTATCTATCTATCTTATTCTGTCTCTTATCTATCTATCTATCTTTGTCTGTCTCTTATCTATCTATCTATCTATCTATCTATCTTATTCTGTCTCTTATCTATCTATTTATCTTATTCTGTCACTTATCTATCTATCTATCTATGTATCTATCTATCTATCTATCTATCTATCTTATTCTGTCTCTTATCTATCTATCTATCTATCTATTTATCTTATTCTGTCTCTTATCTATCTATCTATCTATCTATCTATCTTTGTCTGTCTCTTCTCTATCTATCTATCTATCTATCTATCTATCTTATTCTGTCTCTTATCTATCTATCTATCTTTGTCTGTCTCTTATCTATCTATCTATCTATCTATCTATCTATCTATCTATCTATCTATCTTATTCTGTCTCTTATCTATCTATTTATCTTATTCTGTCTCTTATCTATCTATCTATCTATCTAATCGTTCAAATCAAGTGATAAATCTATTGTAATTAAAGAAGGAAAGGAATTAATTTTGGACCGACCTCTGCCTGTTTATGTAATCTTTTCATAGATAGAAATTGAAAATCTTGTCAAGCTTTCGAATGTCCAGCAAGTAAGTAGATAACTTTCTTTTCTTAAATGAACCTGATTAAAAACTGGCAAAGGCGACCGTTAAACTTGGTATTTAGTCATTTCTTATCCCTAGAATGTACTAGTATACCACTGTACAAGTGCCGTCAAAAATGACAGCAATTTTTCGAAAGTTTTAGTGAGAGGCAATGAAACAGAAGTCTTGAACTAATGTATTCAATAAAGCAGAGACAAAGAATTCACAACTAAAATTGAGGCCAAATGAACCGTTTAATTAATCCGTTCCTTTCATATTGTTAGACGTTCAATCGTATCTATGATTCATTGATTACTCTTGGTATTATATAAATCGCTTGTTGCTCGATATTTTTTCATATTAGAAATTTTGTGTTTAATATAACAGTGAAATGGAAGAAAAATTTAGCAACAAAACAACAAAGACGGCGACCGCAAAGCCTATTTCAAGACCAAGTTGAAGCAAGACGAACTCTTAATAGACAATGGTATCTGAGTGCCTCAAATGAAATACTTGAACAAATAAGACTGTCATCTAAGAAACGTAGGAGTAAAAGAACTGATTATTCAAACGACTTTTGTTGTTGTTTGGGAACTAATTTTGTCTAAATGCAGATAAATATTTTATTTGATTATTAAAACGACTAACGGAAGTAATCACTCATAAATTCTTCTGTGTATCGTATCCATTAAGGACGTGGGAGATCAAGGTTCTTCACAATTTCCTGTTCTTTGAAGTTCTTGGTAAATTCTGTCTTTTTGTTATCTCCCCTAACCCCTTTTCTGCCAAAAATTTACACAAGCTCATTCTTCTTCTTCTTCTTCTTCTTCTTCTTCTTCTTCTTCTTCTTCTTCTTCTTCTTCGTCGTCGTCGTCGTCGTCGTGTCCCTTCGCATTTTCCTGCCGTTTTTAGTTCTGAGAATTTTTATTATCTTTCCTAAAACTTGTTGCGCCATTCATTTACTCAAGCTCGGTAGGTAGGTGATGCTTTGTTTTTCTCTTGATTTCAATCTGTTCTGTGAGTATTAAATTTTCCAAGCACTCTTTCCTCATTATATATATATCCTGGAAGTTTCAACTCTCTTTTCCTGTTGTCGTGTATAAGTGTCATTTTGCTTGCATAACACTACAGTACACTTTTCTTTGTTTCTGTTGCTTCAAGTCTCTTCTTCATCTGTGATGAGATTGTCCAGCATTCACTCCCATATAAGAAGACTTATATTACGTAACACTTCAGTACACTTTTCTTTGTTTCTGTTGCTTCAAGTCTCTTCTTCATCTGTGATGAGATTGTCCAGCATTCACTGCCATATAAGAAGACTTATATTACGTAACACTTCAGTACATTTTTCTTTGTTTCTGTTGCTTCAAGTCTCTTCTTCATCTGTGATAAGATTATCCAGCATTCACTGCCATATAAGAGGACTTATATTACGTAACAGCTCAGCTCTTTTCTTTGTTTCTGTTATATTCCGTGTTAAGGCAATAAACACAAAACACCAGGGGGATGCTAGAAGAAAGGTTTATTGTACGCAACAAGTACAATATGAAATACGGTACAGTTATACACACAGGTCAATCTAGTAGTGAGTGCCACTAGTTGGAAGGTCAGGTGTGCTTGCGTCGTCTCGCTCTCACTCGTCCTCTTGTGTCTCTCGTAGACAGTTGACTTTATAGGTACTTACTACCTACAGTGTAATCATTCATGGTGGTGACTGGTTATTCCATAACATCACTAACGAAATTTTCCTGTTTTTTATACTTTGCTCGCCTTTTTAGCTTAAACATCATAAATTCTACGATTGGTTATGTGCAAAATGTTTAGGTTAACCGTATCCAACCAAAATATTTCACCGTCTCTGTATCGAATTGATCCATTTAACTTTTCGGTAGGTTCGCTTATTGTCCCATTTCCCATTTCTTACCAGTGTTTTGAACAGGAATAAAGGTTTATCCCTTGTTTCCTGTTTAGGTCTCTGTTTCCGGTTACTTCTAAATTCTATTTAACTCTATATTTCTAACGTCTCTATCTGAACTCTGAACCTTATTTACAAATATCTTTTTCTCTCTTCTTAATTGGAGTAGATAGACTTGTTCACACTCCTCCTCATTCTTAGGAGTAGACGGTTATCCCTTGTTCCCTGTTTAAGATTAGGTTTCCGGTTCCTTCTAAAATATTTTCATTCTCTTTTACTCACAGTAGACTCCTTCCATCTTAGTGGCTTTATCCCCTTGTTTGTGATGAAATGATGTTTTTTTTTTTTTTAAAAAAAGGAATAAAAAAGGAATACTCTTAAATCTTCTTCCATTGATTCTAATGGTTATCGATTTTTGTTTTGAATATTGTTCACTGAAGAAATGTTTGCTTTGCACAAATATGACATTGAGAAGAAAACAAGAATTTCTATTGGTTTTTTTTTGTAATATTTGGAAATTCGCCCTTAAGTGACAGCCATTATGACGTCATATCTGTTGTTGTTACCTACTTCTTCGGTAATGATCCAAATTGAGATTCCCAACCTCCCCAGTTTATTTTTGGCCCCTTTTCATCTCGACTGGGTCAGCTTTCTTTACACCCCATCTCCATATTTATTTTCTCCTTTCCCTCTCCGTTAGCGAGAGAGCCTCTTGATTTTGTCCAAAGGAGGAATAAAGCAGCCTCTCTTTTTTGAGGGTTGGACGGGTCCTACTAACATCAGTTATCTTGATTTGCTTTGTTTTGATATTTAGTTTGTTTTTGGGCTCCTGCCTTCCCCTCTCATTGTAAATCATCCATAGATTTTTATCTATAAAATTTTATAATCATTAAAATTTTATGCCACGGGGTGCGTTTGTTTAGGTTCCCTGAGAGTATGTGGTATTATGGTATATGGATGATTGATTTGTGACGGATGAGTTCTTGTGGTGAATGTGTAAATGGTAATGAGTAAATGGGTCGTGATTCGGATTAGCTAGGTATAAGATAGCTAGTGAAGACCAATCTCCACCTATTCCCCCTTTTCGGACTTGTGCCATAATTGTATTTATATATAATAAATATCAATATCTGTTGTTGAATATTTTAATTAAAATCTTGTGTCAATTTAATCAATTTAAAGTGGGGTATAAATTTGATATGTACACTTATTGTGCTTTGGACTTATTTCGAAAATAATTTAATTAATGACCATTAAAAATTTTCACGGCATACCTACGATCCTCCTTCGGCATACCAGTGTGCCGCAGGACACTGGTTGAAAATCACTGGTTCGGGTTCATTGGAAATATTTTAGAAGTAAAGACAAAAAGTCTAATAGCGGGAAAGTCGTCGTACCTGGTCTGGTTTGACCTGAGGCGCCCAGATATTAAAATTCTTGTCAGAAATTCAGAACTGATTGAATAGAAAAAAAAAATTAAATAGTTTCGGTGGCGAGGGATTAAAGGAAAAACATTATATAATCAAAACACCGCAAACATGGACAAACGTGCCCGCAATAAGATCTAATGTCAAAAGGATGCCTTTCCATTGACACCGATATTATTTTAACTACCTTCACTCTTCGGCAATGTTTGTTGTTTTAAAAAGCGACGACTAGAATTGGAATAAAACCTAAACACATGATCAAAGCGAATTTATACATTTTTTTTTTATTCTTGAGAATTTACAACAAAAATATTAAACACTATGCGGTAACAAGAGTTACCTCTCTTGATGAGGATTGTCTCCCTTGAAAGAAAAATTCTCTCTCAGATACTATAAATTACACACACCATTCAAGCACACTAAAGCTTTATTAAGTCTTATCATGCTTCCGTGTTCTTATTACAATTTATTAAGTTTGAATATCTTGAACACCTTATGCGCTCACAACGATTTGACGTCGACCCTAATTCTGACAGCACACACTATTTATTGCGATGTTTATTTACAATAATACTTTTGTATTACAAGATTTTAAAAAAACTAATACAATTATAACTAATATGCAATATTTATCATTTACCAATTTATAAAAAAATAAAGTATTTACTAAATTATTAAAATATGTGAATCAACTATAAGTAAATCCTTATTATTTATAATTTTATACCACCATCATCTCATCCACTTGATTTTTGTAATCGTCAGGTGGATCCGAATGCAGAAGCCACACTGAATTTCCTCCACAACGGTCTATCAACGGCAGCCATCTTCAATTCTGGTCTAGTCATACCTGTTCATTGTTTAATCACACATGAGACATGAATTGATAACAAAGTAATAGAGAATAACGTTGTATTTTGCAGCAATGTGTACGATTCAAACGCTACGCCTTGTGACCGTTCCTAAGAGTAGACTGTCTCATCATATAAGCAAATATTTGATAAGTCTAAAATTAAATGTATAAAGGCTTTAGAACTAAGTAATTATACAGCAGATTTAGAGTATTTCATTGCCATTATCACCATCGTCATCATCATCCCCTTGACTTTTATAATCATAGGGCGGATGCGAATACAGAAGCCAAATTGAATCTTCTCCACAACGGTCTATCAACGGCAGCCATCGGCAATTCTGGTCTAGTCATATTTGTCCATTGTTTGACATTGTCCAACCAATTTTTGCATGATGGTCGTGTCGTGTAACGTGTCCAAACCACGCCATTTTTCTAGGTTTGACAGTGGCGAGAAGGGGTTCCTGGTGGCCCTTAAAACTTTCAACCTTCTTTCGTACAAGGTCATTGGTTTTATGTTCCCAATAGAAGATGCCAAGGAGTTTTCTCATTTTACCATTTTATAAAGCTTGGCAATTAGCCGATGTTTTGCCAACCATACTAATAAATAATATAATAAATAAATAATGTAACGACGTCCTCCGGTTGTCGTTCATTGCATAACCTGTGGTGACATCTCAGGTCGGTTGTATGTGTATACACCCGCCTTACAGGTTTTTCTACTTTGACGTAATCAAGTTCAACAAAGAATAATCACTAATGCTTTTAAAGACACTGGTTAGGAAATAGCAAATACGATTGCTCACTTAACCGTGGGATTCTTCCTTCAGCTTCGAGAAGTGTACTGCTATCTTACTAACTCCCGGCGACGGAAAAAAAGGACTCTTACAGTCACTCCATGTTGTGTCGGTGACAGCTAACTCTCTTGCTGCTAGTCCTTCTCTCACTCACCACCGGTCACTGATGGTCATCTACTTACTTATGACTTCCTGCCTATTTCTCCTTATATGGATACTGGCTGGGGTTCCACACCCTTATCCGAATCTTTGTGATCCGGAATAGGAGACCACCCCAAAAAGCTGGATTAATGGTCAGCTTCTTCAAAGGACTACTTTTATGATTATTTAAAATCATTGACAAAATGTTATGTTTGCCAATTCAAAGGCAGACTGGAGACATGAATCCTGAAAACACCAATAATTAAGTGTCCTCAAGTATGGACTGGAGACGAAATTCCTAAGAAACTCAGATAACTAAGGGGAGTTAAAAGGAAAAGGAATTTATCTACTTATCTTCTAAAGATATGTGAGAAATCGTATTGTTACAGTAAATAAACAATCTAATAAAAAGTAGTGTTTATTTAAATAAAAAATAGTGTTTATTGTTTATTTAAACTCTCAAAAACAACGAAAATTTATAAATTCACTTTCACATGTTTAAGTTTTATTACATTTCTCATCGTCGCTTTTCAAAAAAAAACAAAACAAAAAAACGTTGCCGATGAGTGAGGGTAGTTAAAGCAGCGTCAATGAAAAAACGTTGTTTTGGAATTACGGCTTATTGTGGGCACGTTTGTCAATGTTTGTCGAAAATAGAATAAAATAAATAAAAATCATTTTTCATTCGTACTTATTCTATTCTTTCCATTTTTTTTGTCTTCTTTTAGAGATCTAACCAACTATCTAATCAAGAACAGATCAAAAGAAAACAGCGAATAACGAAGGTTTGTAATGAAGAAATGCGAACATCAAGTCATCTTCGCGATGCAAATGGTCGTTTCCTTTTCTATTCGCCTCTCCGTCTTTCGTACTGTGTCGTAGCAAAAGCTGGTTGTTCATTTTGGATTAGCATCGTACGGATTCTCCTGAACGATTTCGGTTACAACAACACAAAGAAGGACCCGATGGAAGTCACCAAATTAGAAGCGCATGGCCCCAGATCTAAGATGAGGCACCTCACAAAGTCGAACGGCGCGGATTTCTTATTAAATTCAACGTCGTTCTTATTTGCTCGAAACCCGTACACGCGCCTTTTTTCGGGTTATGTCGACAAAATATTCCTTCCCGAATTATGGAGTTCGCTCAACAAGCACATTGCAAATCTCACGAGAAAAAAAGGATCATCACGTTTAAAATGTGTTAATGATATAACGTTTTCAGAGTTTTTACAATATGTCGTTCACTCGGAAAGAATGAACAAAGATCGAAATGGTCACTGGATTCCGATTTATCAAACATGTAATCCCTGTATGTGGAATTTTCAGTTTATTGGAAAACAAGAGTCTTTTGTTAAGGACAGCGTCTCTATCCTAAACTATTTCGGCTTGATTTATATGATGAAAAACTATAGCCATATCCAGAACATGGAATACCAAACAAGATCCCAGATTGAATACACTTTTTACGCCAATCATTTCCACCTCGCTATTTGCGATGCCACCTACAACGTCTTTGCCGAACGCCTGTGGTACGCGTTTCAATTGCAAGGCTACATTCGTCGCAGTCGTCCGGTCCCCGAAATTAAATTTGGAACAGAGGTTCGAGATAATATGAAACGATTTCAACAGGCCGTCATCAGAGAAATACATGAAAATACGATGTCATACGCTCAATCTTCATTGCAGAAAAAGGCAATGTTGCACGAAGCTTATGCACAAATCCCATCGTCAGTGATTCGACAAATACAACAGGTGTACGATTTAGATTTCAAATTATTTGGATACGATAAAGAATCATATCGACATTGAGAGCGATTGACAAAAATAACTGCTTTATGTTTCTTCTCATATTATCGAAGAATAAAGCATAAATACGTTTTCACATTTATCAAATACTATTTTAACCATATCGTGTACAGAGGGGTTAGTTTATTACTTAATGACAATAGAAAAACGATCCCACGCTTTATGTCTTGTAGAATCTTATATTAACACGAGTTTACTGATGTAAAATTTATATTTTAAGCCTTTAATATTTTTATATGGGATTCTCTAAATGTCACCGGACATTTAGCCGAACGGACATTTGGCCGAGAGACATTTGGCTGACGGACATTTGGCTGATGGGCATTTGGCCGACTGACATTTGGCTGACGGACATTTTACCGAAAAAGTACAAGTAAAAATAGTAACAAGCAATACTTTAAGTATTTTAATTAGCAGTATTATAAGGTAGAATAGGACTAATAATTATCATTGAATTTCAAGTGATCGAATTACTAAATCTAAATTTAAAGTTAATAAAAGTTTTCTTATTTCAATATTTGTATATTGAAATTAGTATTTTTTTAAATATTTGAGTGTATTTGGGTAAAAAGTAGCACCTAATTATTTAAATTCGCATTTAACAGTAAGATAAAAGCTCGTTCATCGCTTTAATGATTATTAAAAGCAAAATTGAAAGATCTTTTATATCGTAAAAGATTAAGATTTTTCCTGTAGTAAGATGTGCTTTTTCTCAAAATACTTATCTTTCAGTAGTATTTGAAGTAAAATATAATATATACAGAAGATATTTTAAACAAAAAGCCTGTAAAAAACGAAAAATTGTAAATTAATCCAGTAAATAAATATAAATATACGTAGCACATTACGATAAAGAGTGTGACAGACACATGTAAGTACGCCACTACATTTTCGGCTAAATGTCCATTTGATTAAATGTCCGTCAGCCAAATGTCCGATTACCTTCTCTAAATATATTTTTTCCAATTATTATATCAATATATAGTAATTCAATAATGGGAGTTCAGTTCATTACTTAATGACAAGAGAAAAACGACATCGTCTATTAATACTGATTTAACCATGCCACCTCAAAAATAATGACGGCACATATGTAATTAATATTTCAAGACATTTATGCCTTCATATGTAATTCTTTTTAATATATTTTCCAATTATTATATATAATTAACAGTAATTGTGCGGGGATCAGTTTGTTACTTAGTAACAACAGAAAACCGATCCCCGACTTTATGCCGCCAATAGAATCATATTAATTTAAATGGCGACGGTCTATATGAAATTGATCTAAGGATTTCATGTATGAGTCTTTAAATATGTCTTTCCAATGATTACATTGGTATTGTAACTCTCCGCTCTTTCACGGAGTCGATATTTCCACTTTCTGACTTCATAAGCATTCTTCCAATTTTAAACATTTTTTTAATTATATTCCAATTACATAGCAAACACACTGCCAACTAGCATCGGTTGTGCAAGGGTGATAACTCTCGTACACCAAAAAGTTACTGACAAAAAAATACAAAAACAAATATACATAGCGTATTTTATATATGTATAAATACATATATGCTACGCAATAGATTAAGCCCGACAATTATTTAATATATTTTCTGTTTATACGTTATTTTTACAGACATAAGTAAATGCTCTGTTTTTTTTGTTTTTTTTTTTTTAATTAAACAGGATTAATTACATGTACCGACCTGAATCTTCGAGAAATTTCGTAGAAAATATGCGCTCTTCGACAGGAATCGAACCTGCAACCCTTATTGGAAACCGTCATTTGATCTGACGTGCTGTTGCCACAAAGAAGCTGTTTAATTAAAAACGGAGCATTTACCAAAATAACGTTTAAACCGAATATATATAGTCGCTTCCCAAAGAGATTGCTCTATGACGAGCTATCCCCAGGCAAACATTCCCTCAGCAGACCAAAGATTCGTTGCAAAGACACCTTGAAGGAGTCTCTCAAGCAGTGTGGAATCCCTATTCCATCTTGGAAGAGTCTGCTGAGGAGCAAGCCATTCTGGTGCTCCCTTGTAAAGTACGGAGTGTCTGATTTTGAAGAGAAAAGAATCAGGGACAGAGAACAGAGACGCCAGAAAAGAAAAGATCGAGAGGGCTCTGCCCCATGTCACAACTACTGCAACAAACTTTTCAGGGCAAAGATCGAACTAATTAGTCATCTTCGGAACCACCCTGCATCCTCAATGATTCGAAGTCAAGGTTATCTCTGCATGCTGAGGACGATTAACACGCCTCTTTACTCTTGTAAAACCTGTAACCCCTTGCGTACTAGTGACACTCCCGCCTTGCTTGGGATGAAATGCTTATATATATATATATATATATATATATATATATATATATATATATATATATATGTGTGTGTGTGTGTGTGTGTGTGTGTGTGTGTGTGTGTGTGTGTGTGTGTGTGTGTGTGAATAACTTCACGTGCGGGTTGTGTCCGAAGACCTGAAGAAACCGCTCCGGTCTAACCTGTCACATGAAAACTCACGAGCAACCTGGACAGAATTTACAAAACCGGCCAGGCTCTACACAAAACAACTTAGTTTGCCGCGTTTGCAATAAACATTGTAGGTCACTTGCTGGCTTCAAGAGCCATTGTCGTTCGCACGGGAACTAAAACCATAGATCAAACTTGTCAGCGATAGTCATACTCATTAACCTAGTCGATAGTTATATACGTATCTGTGTGTGCATGTGCATTTTTTTCTTATTCTTTTATTCTCAGTAACCGCTTGTGTCATAGGGGCTTGCTTGAAGGGAAATGATTTCAAACAAATTAATCACACACACGTTTATATATGAATAATTTGTTTGAATATTATATGCAGTTTGTTTGAAAAAATATACATGCATATATGTATGTGTGTATGTATGTTAAGAGCGTGTGGCCGAGTGATTAGCTCGTTCGCTTTCTGACCCGGGTTCGAATCTCATCATGGCCGATTTGTCGGGAAGGTGATGTTATCGATCAGTGTGCGGCACCCTTGAAAAGTGTCTAAAAACAGCCACACAGGTTGTCCCAAGACTTGTGAGTGAAATTAAGTAGATGGAACACGATGGTTGTGCTAGCACGAAGTCACAAGTCATCATGAATGAGGGTTTGAGCGTGCTGGCCTTGTTCAGACTGTTGATCACGCTAGATAACGCGCTCTCTCCCAGAATCTGTAACTAAGCTCCGTTCAGCATATTTGCAGTATAATCTACAGGTGGGCTCTGTTGGTTCTGAACAAACACAAATGTGCCCGAGCAAGCGTCTGCAACAGGGATTGGCTAGCCACCTTAGCAAACGGTCATCCTCGGATAAGAGTGGCCAGCCATTATGTAAAAGATTTCTTTTGTGCGATGAATGTTGCTATGCTTGCTTTTCAAAGGAAGAAATGACGTCATTGAAAAAACAGTTTTCCAAAATGACATCCAGCTTGATTTCTCTTGCTACCTGAGTAACAAAGTGTGTAGATCAACCGGTGAACTCATTCGGCATTATAGATATCAGTATCCAAGAAAGCCAGATGAGACGTCATCAGTGACAAGAGATTTAAGCATAAACACGTTTTCAGCGTCAAATGAGTCGATGAATTACTCGTTCTCGGCCATGAGTTGACTTCCACAATGTAATATATGTAATGTATGCGAATCCTGAACAGAAATTACAAAACAAGCCAGGCTCTGTATAAACCATTTTTTTAATCAGAAAGTCTACTTAACTTCTGATATGCACTATCCAAAGAGAGTTTGCTACGTCTGCATTAAATAATGCAAGTCCCTTGTTGGCCTCAACAGCCATTGTCATTCTCGCGTGAACTAAAATTGGGGGTCAGATTTGACGACGATGTTCATGTTCGCTTAACGAGTTGAAGCCTTTATGCATCTGACTTAGATGTAATCAATTTTAATAAAGATATAACAGCTTTATAGAAAGTAATTTTGAATTCAGAATCCTGAAATGATCGCCATAACATAAACAAACTAGCATTAGAAATGAATTAATAACTCTCTAACAATGGTTAAATAGTAAGGCAGAGTGAGGTCTTCAGCCTTGGGTGGCAACCAGTCTAGAAGAAAGACAACCCTGAATTCATAAATATCTCTAACAATGGTTAAATAGTAAGGCAGAGTGAGGTCTTCAACCTTGGGTGGCAACCAGTCTAGGAGACGGAAACTCTGAATTCAAAAACTGTATGTAGCGAAGCACATACTATGCACCTAATGAAATGATCGTGAATTTTACAATGACTCTATGATACCGACTGTGTGCGTATGTGTGTTTGAGAGGTGTTATAGTGGAACACACCTATTCTATAGTTAATAGACTCTCCCACCTATAATAAGTAGGAGTAGTAAGAGTAACGTGAGAGTCGCTCAGTGAGTCAGTGTATGCCGGACGACAGTTAGTCGAATACTAAAGCATCAGCGACCACAACTATATTACTCTGCGTTATACCCATTATATCAAGTTCCTAACGTTTTGTACGTCGAACCTATTTTAGGACGGACATAGTACAAATACAAGCCTCCACTGTGAAATCACTCCCCAACAAGAGGGTAAAAAAACAAAACAAAAAAAAACAATTTCTTTGAAAAAATGTGTGTATGTATGCATGAATCTCTTTCGTACAATGAATATAGCCGTATTTGCTTTTCAAAGGCAGGCTTCATTAGCCACAAATGACGTCATAGAAACACCAGTCTCCCAACATGACATTCAGCTTGATTTCTCTTGCTATCTGAGTAACAAAGTGTGTAGATCAATCAGTGAACTCATCCGACATTATAGAT